ACCTCCGGCTACAAGGATATTGTTTTTGAGGCAAGGGGCGGCTTTAAGGTGGCCGGTGAATTGCCAGCGGGCGGCCGGAGCTAACCTGCTCTGGCCGACCGGTGGCCACCCACGGTCCGGGGAGGAGAGAAGGCGCTGTAGGGGCACTTGACGGGGCCGATAGAGATATTTATGAGCTTGCGGTTCCTCATAAACAACTGGGCATGATTTGACTCCAACAATTTAGGATACAAATTTTATTTGAACAAGTAGTCTCATGCAACACTAATGTAGCAGTTGCGCAAATATAGCTGCAAATTTTTTTATAATAGTACTGCGTACCATGGTACATCGTTTCATTATTGATTTCGCTCCTGTTATTTGCTTTAAAATGTAGTATTTATATTTGCCTTTTTATTATCATATAAATAATAATATTTACAGTCGCAGTAATAATAGTTTAAATCAATTATTCAGTATGATAATAATTCAGTGGGCTGATATTAATATTCAGTTTGATATTAACATTACAGATTATTAAGCAATGTGCAATGTGTTGTTACGGGTTGCTTTTTAGACTTGAAAAAATTATAGAAAAATAGAATGATATTAATTTAAATGCAGGTCTTCACCGTATTTAATGAACTTCTGATAAAAATTTACACATTTACATGAATGCTCTAATTATTGCATAGATCATGTACGTGTAGAATTTGAAATGCTATATTCAAGCTCATTTAGTTTAATGATTTGCATTAACATAATCATTCATGTGGTAGTACATGGAATATTCAATATTAAATTGTGCTGTTTATGCATTCATTCTCATCCCATTTCAGTACATAATTACGATTTCCTCTTCGTCATCATCCTAACGCATGTTGCTCATTTTCGACCAGCTTAACAATATTAACATGATATTTACGATGTATGGAAACATTTATTGTTAGATTTGACCCTTTAAAAAGCACCTCTGCTTCAGACAAGGGTTTCCAAAGCTGATCGAAAGAGACTGCGAAGTGAGGAGGGAAGAAGGAATGTTTACCTTGAACGCCAGAAGATTTATTGCCATATTGGGTAGGCTGCGATTCATGCAGTGTGACAAATGGTCAGGTCTTGCTTTAATCTACGGAAGTTTCACTTCTTTTTAGGTTTTAATCTACTTATATCTAACACTAGAAGAATGATTCAGAAATGCGCATGTTATATCAATCAATGAATAAAACATAGTTAAATTAACTAGTATCACGAAGATGTTAGAAAAGTCGCTCGTTTTACGATCCTCATATGGGTCAAAATTTTCGTTCGCGATAAAATTGGTAATACAAAGGTTAAATAATTTATCTTACTGTTCGGTAATTGAAAATAATTAGCCAGGATTGCATTCCAAATTTCAGACTTGCATCTTGTTAATGGGAGGACAATTTAATAGCCATAGACAACTAACGCTGTTGACAGCCTTGATGTTCACTCATACGAACTTGTAAAAGCGCATCAAATAGGCTAACGGTGAAATTTTGGTAGAGGTTCTTAACTTCTTATGGCATTGAGAATTACCAGCGTAAATTTTTGGCTCTTTGGTCTATGAGTAAAAAAATACGGGTGCCTCGCAGGACCCTTAAATGTGGCCAGCAGATATGACCAATGCAGTTTCTAAGCTCAAAAATGACATTCGATATTCAAAAGGTGCAGGTAACTTGGAACACACGTAACCATATCAATGATTCTAAATATTTATGTTAACATTATTTTGCCATTAATCAGGTGGCAATGAATGCCAACGCTACGATGTCTCACTGCAGGATTATTTCCTGTACGAAGAAGCTATGCTGTTGAAAATTGATTGATTATCAGGCGACATCATAATTCCTGCCATATGTTTTATGGCTCTGCAGGGGGGCCCGGTGGTTAAAGTTCAGAGTACCAAGATTGGAACAGAGAGGAGCGGGTTCGATCCCAGCTCTGTGTGACAGTTTCTGGTCAGAATCAGCGAGGAGGCCGGGCGGTTAAGCACAGCAGAATTGTAGCAGTGAGTTGCGAGTTCGAGACCGCAAAATGCTGTGAATGTTCTGCGATGTTAAGAATCGGCGACAGGTCTACGGTATAATAAACTCTGAAACCGCTATTAGCCTACTATATCTGAGGTCCGACGCATGGTTGAACTCATGGTTGAACTAGTATAAGGTTGACCAATGAGAAGCTAATTTTCGCTGATGACGTTTGTTGTTCTCCTGTGACGTCACTGATCTCAGAGACGTCACGTGCATTAACCAATCACCGAAATGAGATCAAAATAGTCAACCAATCCGTCATGGGAATGACGGGTTTGTTTGCATTTCTCGATCTCAGTGACGTAACAAGAAAGCTGAACTGAAAGGCGGAACTTCTTGTGGGTCAACCTTATATATTTCAACCATGGTTGAACTATATAAATTGGACCCACGAGAAGTTCCGCCTTTCAGTGCAACTCACATGTGACGTCACGGAGATCGCAAAACGTAAACAATCCATTGTCAGGCCGTGGGTTGTTCGCTGACGATTCGGGTTTGAGACTTTGAGCTGCGGTGTGCGACGGACGTAAGGAAGTTTGCTCCAGTGTGACCTTCAAGAGTGAATTTATACTTTTCATTTTCCGCGATCTTTGATTACAGTGCTTACGAATACGATGAGGCGCAGAGTCGGTGACTGCTAGTGCTAAACAACAATCATCCTCTGATCCTCATGAAACGATAATCAGGTAAGCAAACGAAGAAAGACCCTCCGACTGATGCGATTTCCCCCACGGCCCCACCACCACCAAAACAACGAAGCAAACTAATGCACTCTGCCGGCTGCCCTATCATCAGTCAGAATCTCAAAACATTCAGCTTCCACGTCTGAAACAGTGAGACTTATAAAGATGGACATGGACCTATTTGTGGATTTTAAGATATGTATTTCACTTTCTCTATCAGTCTATCTCCTATGCCAGCAGGGGCCTGCAGGGCAGCAGCACAGCAGAGTGCAGACACCTGACAGGCACCAGGGCCCAGGCTGGGCTCTGGAGATAGTGCCCGGCATAGTGGGACTGTGGGGCATAGTGCCAGTGGCATAGTGGCAAAGCAGAGAGTTTTTTAGACTCTCTTTCAAGTTCATTTTTGAGTCCTATGTGTAGACAAGTAAAGTATCCTGGATACCAGCATTATTATACTTATGAAATTGGTTTTAATCTTGAGTAAATGAGGAAATTAAAAATGAACTGATTCTAAAAAAGCTCTGGTTTGCCACTATGGCCAGTGGCAAACCAGAGATGTTTTAGAATCAGTTCATTTTAATTTCCTCATTCACTCAAGATTTGAACCAATTCCTTATGTATGATAATGCTGGTATGTGGTATCCATAATCCATGATACTTTACTGGTCTACATTACTACATATAGGACTCAAAAATGCCACACTCAGGATGATGTATGTTTTCGGTGAATTTTCCCGCGCATTTTCACTTTTTTTGAGCTATTGCTGTGCACAGTTGGCGCAATGTAATGAAAATTGATTATCTTCGCGCACGTGTTCGCGCAATCCTGGCCATCTTTATTTTAGAAGAAATTTTCTCCAGTCATATGGCAACACTGAACACCGTCTGTTTACATTTCGTATGTATAACAGCCGCAGTTTACGATTACTGTAAATGGCTTTTCATTAAAAATTACCCGGCGACGCATCTTTAAAATGGCCGGCAACGCTTTGGGCTTAAAAATCCATATATTGCCGACGCTGCATCCACCCTCTGCATAGTGGTCTTCAGCTACTTCAGCGCCTTCAGCTTTTAAGTGTGACCCAGAACCTAAAATTGTTTATGGCCAAACTATGATTCAAGCCAAACCCAGAGTACTGACTGTACTAAAAGTCAAGACAATGTGGTAATTCTGGTAGAGCTACTAGCTGGCCTGATGAATGCCCCACCTCAAAGTTCTTTGGCAATGACCTTTCACTCAGTAAAGCCTTGGCAACATTTCCTTTTGGCTCAGCAGGTATTAAGCAAATCAGGAAGACCATTGCTAGGAATCTCCTCAGCACTGTGGCATCAGTGTTTCACAGCTCTGCTGTGTTTCATGGCTCTGCCATGTTTTGCGGCTCTCATGTCTTGTTCTCTAGTCTTGTGTAACAGGTTTGCTGTCCATGCTGCAACTTCCTGTCTGGGGCTACATGTACATGGACATCATGACAAGTCTTCAAAGCTCCCATTAAACAGCAATTAGAAGAAGAAGAAGTTGTTGGGTGGTATGTTACATTGTCTTGGTGTCATATTTGATATAATATATAATGAAATTGACCTCTTCAAAATGGCCCTAAAAACTTTAATAACTGTATCTTATGTTATTATTTACAGTGCTGGTGTTTGCTGTACGATATTTGTACAGCAAAGAAATAAATAACTAAAATTAGAAGTTTAGTCTATTAGTATTGGCTATGCCAGTAAATACAGTAATGGCTGCCAGCCTGCCACTCTGCTTGACAAAGTCTAAAAGAAATGGAGATAAATTCTAACGTCTTGATTTTTTAAGCTAATGCCATATATTCCTGAATCTCTGTTATTATTCATGTTAAAAATTTTCTTTTGATTTACCGTCAACCGGGGCTACTCGGGACGGTTTTGAGCGTTTTTTGTTAATAACTTCTTACGATGAAACATTTCATAAACAAGTTTAGGCTCATTTTATAGCTCATTGCGAGGGCTATCGAATGGCATCTTCAAAAAAATTCCATATGCTATTCGTAAGGTGCCAGAAGCAAAAAAATAGTGTCCCGAGTAGCCCCGTCGAACGGGGCTACTCGGGACACTGGGAATGAAACTTCATTTTAAAACACATGAAGCATGCAGAGCGTACTCATCCATTACTAACAGTACTCTGAAGTCCGCCTCTTTCATTGTAGATGATGTNAAAACACCAGACCAAACACCAACCACATGCCAACCTAGCTTCACGGTCCTGTCACGGTCGCCATAACGAAAACTTTATGGCGGAAAGACAAAAACTGTATATACGAAATAATTTATTCGATCAACCGTGTGCAGGAAGTAAATAAGATTGCGTGAATTCCGCCACTGTTTCGTTCAATGAAGGGCCAGCAGAAAACTTGAGGCGGATGACGTCATGCGTACGTCATCATGCGGCATCTATTAAGTAAATAATGAAGATCACATCAATATACCGAGAAGAGATTAATTGATCAATCGTTGTACTTGGAATTTGTCATTAATTTCTCCGAGATCAATTAGCGAGTTTAACAATCATTTAATCAATTTGGAATTAGTTATCGATCACTAACTCAATTATACATCATTTGGATCAATTTATAAAAATCATTTCATATCATTTGCTCTATTGAATACATAAGATTAGATCAGTTGGCCCTACATCTTTATTATAAATCAGGCCGTGAAGCGGCTATTAGATCTTTAACCCAACACCATCCTTGACAATGAATCACGCCCTGTCAATGCCGGACTTACAGTGTATTGAATAAAGACTTGGCCTCCATGGTAAGTTTGATCCAGCTGAGTCTTCGAAGAGAGGTCCATCATCCTGGGGCGGCTGGTGCAGGTTTAGATTAAGGAGTCATTAGACGTCGGTCCACAGGGCCAGGGAACATCACTTGGAGGAGGTATCCAACGTGAACATCACGAGCTCAACACGAACACAGGCTCAAGTTCTCCGTAGCAACAGTAGGATCCAGATCCGTCCGTACATCCAAAAAAAAATCTGCCTTCCACTGGAGCCACAGCGCTGTTGTAGCTGTCGCACCCTGGCTTTTCCTTGCTCTGAATTTTATTAGTATCACGGACAATGGGGGGCAAAAAATTCAAAAGTCAAAAAGGCGTTGGGTCAGATCTAATATATCATGGATATGGTTATTTAGGATTATTCGATAATGTGGCAATTTATTTTATCCCTATATACAACACCATTCAAATATTGAGATATTCGATAGCAATATTCCAATTAGTTTTGCTACTATAACAATTTTACGCCGTGTTGGAGGTGCGTCCCGAGTTGCCCCGCCAGTCCCGAGTTGCCCCGGTTGACGGTATCTCTCACTCGTCATTTTTTAAGGAAAATTCTATTGAGAACTCTCAGTCTCAACCTTGCATTAGATTTAGCCATTTAATTTTGGGTGACCTAGGACCCAGCGAGCAGCCAGGGTGCAGAAAGGGGGTGAATATCAAAAGATCTTTGGCAAAATTTATGCCTTCAGAAGATCTTGCCAACACATTTGAATTCAAATAATTGCATTTTAGAAATTATTTTGATATTAGTGCAATTACGGTACTGCAAATCTGAAAAACTGCAAGTGCACACAGTAAGGTTTCTGGTACATTGGATGGGTCAGGATGCAGCAAAGCTTGTTCAGAAATCAGTTGTGATGAGTGTAAGTGTTGCAGTGTGTAGAAAATGAGGGATATTTTATCAAAGTTGCTTGCATCATTTTCTTATTATTAATTATCACGTGACACATCTTGAGAATGCCTGGCGATGCTTTGGGCTAAAAATCCATATCATGGCGACTCTGCTTGCAAACTCTGCACTCATGGGAACCAGTGGCAGTAGCTACTAAACTCCATCTGCAAAGTCAAGCTAATCATGGGTCAACATTCTACTAGAACTAGTTCTACCAGGGGTACAATGGACCCCAGAAAAGGCCAGCAATCTCAAAGACTCAGACCAGCGTAGTTGGGTCTTAGTAAAGTTAATTTTTTGATCAAAGTGATTGATAGAGAATTGTCTGAAATTTCCATGAAACAAAAGTTTCATTGTAAAATTAGTTTGAAAAGTTTCTGGATATTTCAGATCATTTTCTATGAACTTCTCTGATACCTTGGCCTGATGTGCTGGTCAAAAAAACAAATTTCCAAGTAAATTATAAAAAATTGGTGTGTGAAATTCCAAGTTTTTAGACTTTATTTGAGATGATTTGCGACCTTATGTTTTTCATGAACCTGGTCATGATCCTGACCTAGGTCCGGGTCCTAGTCACATTCTGACATGGTCAGGTTTGCAGTCGTTTTGTCCAAGGAGAAGTTGGTAAGACTTGTGGCTGATAGGGTCCAGGCTAGCTGGAATCAATCCTGGCTAGGTACTGTCAACAACCCTGGCAAAGGCCACTTCCTCACACTGGTGAAAAACAGGGTTGGCCTATGGCCTTGGACCCATAATAATCGTATGGGTAAAACTGCCTTAGCTAGGCTATGCACCAGTCATGCAGGTGTTAGGGACGACCAATTTAGCTTGCTTTAGGCTGAATGACAGCCCATTCTGCTCTTGTGGATCTCCTGAATCCATGGAGCATTTGCAGCTGCACTGCTCTCAGCGTGCCCTTGCACTCACCTAAGTAGCTAACACACTAACTCATCTCAACATCCCTGTCATGCTGCAAAACCTACTTGCTGAACGCCCCTTTCCCTGCCCCATACAGTGCCTGATAGGTGATGCTGTAGCCATATTTTTATTAGCTACCAAGACCCTCCATTTACTATGAGCAATGATACAACCTGTTTGATCTAACTTAACTAACCACCTAAAACTAGTTCTTTATTTAGACTTCTGTATACAGCTGGTTTTTGATCAGCTACAATATTGCTAACCACTAGTAAACTAAATGCAACTACCACATGTGGGAATTATCAACTTGGATAAAAAAGTCTTTCCTAACACAAATAAAAAACTCTTTCCTACTACAAATGTGTTGCTTGCAATGGAAAAAAAATTCCATGCAGTTTAGTATTATTTGCATTTTAATATGGTATTATTTAGGTAGTGACTGCCTCATATGAGGATGCTACTTTTTCCTCTTACAGCAAATTAACCCTAATCTCCTTCAGAGCTGGGCCCTTAGGGGGTCATGTTTTTTCCTGTTTCTGCGTGATCTGAGTAGAACTTTTCCTTAGCTATTCAGTCCAAAGAAGCTCCAGGCCACCCCCTCCCTTCCAGGGGCCCAGGTTGGACCTTTGGTAACTTGTCATTAACTTGTACAACCCCATGTGAGGCGCTAATCAGGGCATGGATATTACAACTAGCTGGGCTTGGAATACATTGATAATGTGATGATCTCTGAAGCCAATGCTCAATTTCATATCATCTATAGCTATTCTGTAGCTGAGCATTTGGCAATTGTTATTATAAATGATGTTCTTTTATTTTAACCAATTTCTCTCTTACATTTTTATCTTTGTTTATTTAGTTTACTCTCATTTGTTATTCTTCTTTTTGTTCTTGTTATTTTCTTCTAGTACATTTTTTGTGTTTTTTCCAGATTTGTAGATTAACTAGATTTTCAGATGTTACCTAACTATTAGACACAAACTAGACTCCACTTAGGCAAGGGGCTGCATGGACTAATATCCAGAGCTCCTACCGGTATAAGAAGAAATGAAAAAATAATAACATTGTATGGGTGGTGAGTTCTGGACTTTCTGGTTTTTGTCAGGCTCTGTATACTGAACTCTAGTATACAACTAACTCTTAACTGGGCTAAGAACGCACTGTCAATGTGGTGATCTCTAAAGTAAAGCCAATGCTCAATTTTGTATCCTCTAGGCCTAAACTCTACCTACACATGTGACCTTGTTTATTAATAATCATAAACTATGTTTGCCTATGTGATTTGTTTTGTCTCAACCTTTTTTTATTTATTATTGTTCTTTTTTGCTGTTATTGTTTTCTTGCACTATTGCTGTACAGCAATCCCTTGATTAGCACGGTTTTGAATAACGCGGTTTTGATTAACGCGGAAAAAAAATGTGCGACCTACCCTTAATCTACGCGGTGCCAGTTTTGATTAGGGCGACTTTTTTTTCACAACGCATCATTTTCCCGCCTCTAGCCAGAGGTGTTACATTCGTAACAAAAGTGTTACTTTTTGCTTATTAGATCTTATGTTGTTACTTTTGTTACGACTTTTGGAAAAATTCGCCAAATGTTGTTACTTTATGAATTTCAGCCAATAATTCTTTAAATAAGGTCCCATTCCATAGGCTCTGGTGCTGACTACAGAGTCGGTTTAACCGCGCCTTGTCTCATTCATAACTCGAATGGTTGAGTTCAGCAACGTTTGCCGGTAAGTGCACCATGCCGGTGCTCTAGTTACTCGTTAGCCTTCAACTGGTCAAGATCGCTGCCATATCTACTGCTCACTTTTATCAAACTATATAATTTTCCTTGATAAATTACCGTCATAATTATGGACAAAAAGGGAACGCTTAAACGTAAAAATATCACTTTGGAGACTAAGCTTGAACGATGAATTGAACTAAGCAAAATATGAGGAATTTTAGTGGAAAAAAAAGTATTATGTAACTTTGCTATTTTTGAGGATTCATTATAATTATTACCATATATTCTTAAGTTTGATTAGCGCGGTTTTGCTTAACACGGTAAAACTCGGGGATTTAATAACCGCGTTAATCAAGGGATTGCTGTATTGCCATTGCTGTTTGGTTGTTTATTTCTTTCCTTTCAGATTTTCAGCTGGAGCTGATACCAGTACTATACATTATGACTACCATTAGGCACAATTTTACAATCTCAACCCTGTTTAGGCAAGGGGCTGCTGGTACCAGTTTCCAGTGCTCCTATTAGTCCTATAAGAATAAATATGGAGAAGACTCGGTATACCTGCCTGCTGCTTCTTTGTATGGATGTCCCCGAGTCATTTAAAGCTACCTACTCCTCCATTCTTCCACCTCAAAAAAAAAAAAAAATGTGGAAAGAACTGCAATTTGTATTTCAAGTCAAAATTTTTATTCAAATGCTCACAATCTTCTCATTTTGATTCTTGGGCATCCTGGTGTGGCATAGTAGGGCTGTGGGAGCCTAGGAGGTTAGAAGGCTAGAAGCTATGTATGGAATGATGAATGGAATGATTGGTGCTTGGCAATTTTGCAGAGGCATGATAAGGTAGTAGAAAACACAATATAAAGGCTGTTGTAGATCTTTTTAGGAGGAGATTCTAAATGACTGTTACTCAGTCTGTTAGTGATGAAGTCAGATGATTCAGATCAACTATAGCAACTTGCCTCTGCCTGCTAAAGGGTGAAATCCACTTTGAATCTGGTGTAGCTTGAATCTTGCGGTTGCAGTGTTTCTAGCATGTTTAGCAACTATGTAGCTCTATAGCTAGGTGTAGCTATGCATGTTTAGATTGAACGTTGGCGACAGGGCTATATTAGGAGTTAAATTTGTGGCAATGACAGCACTTCTGCTCTGTTAGAGCCAGTCAGAGCCTTGGTAAGATACTTGACTGTGGGGGGCCCAATGGCTGCATGGGTATAATTGTGCATTGGCAAGTGAGTTTTAGGCTCATTTATTGGTCAGATTTTTCAGATTGACTATCTGTGTCTGTTGTATTATTTGAATTAAACTACTGGATCTATTAAATCAGCTTGGTGTCAACTATTGAATTTTATTTCTCACAGAGTTCAGCACGGCTCTTCATTTTAGGCTTCATTTTACCCAGAAAAATTACTCAGTGAGCCTCAATACCTAATTAAAATATTGTCTTGGTCCTTGAACTAAAACACAGTAGCCATTGTATTTTTTCATTATTTTTAGGCATACATTATGGAAAGCCTATTTAACAGTGAACTAATAAGACCTATCTATTAAGAAGTTAAATCAAAAGCATGGAAAATCAAATGAATTCCAGTGGTGATCGCAGAAAGCGTTCAGAACTTGTAGAATACTATGCAGCTGAAAAGAAAAAGTGGGGGAAAATGCCAGCTTCATCTAAATTTGATCTGCTCAGCAAAGAATTTGATCCAGGACTCTACTCTCAGAAGCTAATAAAGGTTTGGAAACAAGATTTATGAATCATACATAAAAATCTGTTCTTTAAGATAACCACAAACAGACTGACAATATGTGGTACCAGTATGCCTTTTATAGGGGCTTTCCTCTCCCCTAAAATATTTGGAAGTCCCTATATAATTCCATGTTCATTTATTAGAATTTTTTTCTTTCTGAAAATTGCCCAAAAAATTCAATAACATGTGGCCTGAATATAAGTATAGATTAGTAATTATGCAACAAGTCATTTTTTAGCTTGAATGTGACCATAAATCATAAGGGGGTTAGTTCCCTCTGTCGATTAGCTAGAAATGTCTTGAAAGTAATATTTTGATTAGCAATTATTTTCTAAGAAAATTTATCTCATGCAGTATTTTTATGTTGAGAAAAACATCTATGAGATCAGTGCTATGTTTTTTGATCACTTATATGCATTTTTTCTGTTCTACTGAAGGCCTGAAAGTTTTAATGTTTTGTCTATACTTTTGCTATATGGCTGGTAGCTGCTAGTTTCATTCTTTCTTGCAGATCATGATAGGCTACCATTCTTCTAAATTTGGTTCTCAAGTTTCAGAAGAAAATTTTCTAAAATTATAAACATTCATGTGATCAATTTGATGCAGAGGAAAATGTTGATGTTACTTTAAAATGCCAACTCAGCTTCATAATTTACTCTGTTCTCTAAATTTATGTGTGTTGAGATTAAATTAGCTGAAGAGAATGAGTGTTTCTTTTATGTGTGGATAAAAATTTTTGTTCTCTGTAGTATGATGAGCTATTGTCCCTGAGACTGGTACTGTTCGCTGGAGTTTAAACTGCCTGCATATCTTGCAGGAGTACAGCTTGAAGCAGCTACTCGAGGAAGAAGCTTCTCTGTCATCAACAGCTCAACGTCTTGACTCTGACTGCCAGACGCTCGTCTATGAACATTATGACAAGTTCCTCCATGCCACTGATCTTGTTCACAAGGTAAGAAATTTCTAATGGATCATCTTTGCCTTGCTTTTCAATTATTTTTTAATCTAATGTCAAAAATTTTGAGTTTCATCTGTGCCATTTTTCTCTAGCTATTTAGGACAAGTGTTACGGTTGTGTGTTAGTAGTGGTGTGAGTGTCTATATAGGAATATATTTTTATTGGTGTCCCACATATTTATCTGCTACTGTATTTAATTTATCAACTTTATTTTTCTTAACGATAAAATGATGTGCATAAGTATTAAACATGAAAATATGCATGTCAAAGCATTTCACAATTTGAAAAATTAACTAATTAAATGGAAGACTCGTTACTTGTAAACAATTTCTTTGTTGAATAATTTACTGAGAAACTGTTGCAGCTGAAGGAGGGTTCTAGTGAAATGGAAGGTCAACTGAAGCAACTCCAGAGCAACATGGCATTAATAACAGATTCTTCATCTGTTATCACAGCCGGCTTGAAGGTTGGTAAACTTCTGCTGCGCCTGTACTGTTTGCAAGACGTATTTCTTATTGCCATATACAGAACTGGTCAAACTTGTTACAATGCAAACAGACCATTAATGTTAGCAGAAAAATATTTAATAGTTACTGACGAAAATGTATTTATTTTGATTAATCCCTCAACAGGAACGACGAAGTGAGCTCTCATCATTGCTCAACGCACATACCACCCTGCAGAAACTTGAATTTCTCTTCCAACTGCCAGACAAGATGGATGAATGTATTTCTAAAGGCAACCTTAAAGAGGTGACAGGGCTTTACTACTTCAGGAATTTAGAGAGCTTTTCATTTTGTTACATCAAATAGATTACTTGGTATAGCCTTTAAATAAACTTGTTCTTTTATGATGTCTTGATATAAGTGACACAGTTTATTTAAAGATTTACCGTTACTTCAATCAAATATAGAAAAATATTATGATTTACTTGGTTATCTTGCAAGTATTTGCAATCTCCAACTATTGTTTGCTAGTTGCTTCATTATAAAATTTTACCTTCAACAAAGAAAAGTGAGTTATTTGTTAACCTAGGGCAGGGTGGCCCAGTAGGGCAGGGTGGCCCAGTGGTTACAGTTCAGAGTACCAAGATTGGCGCAAGAGGCGCGGGTTCGATCCCAGCTCTGTGCGCCAGTTTCTGGTCAGAATCGGCGAGGAGGCCGGGCGGTTAAGCACAAAAGAATTGTAGCAGTGCGTTGCGAGTTCGAGACCGCAAACTGCTGTGAATGTTCTGCGATGTTAAGAATCGGCGACAGGCCTACGGCCTAATAAACGCTGAAACCGCTATATTTATTTATTTGAAGCTTCTGTTAATTATCAGAAATCATGATATGTTTTTTGAATTAATTAGAGTTACTAGCAATATGCATTTACTTGAAAGTTTCATACAATTAATGTATAACATGTTGTATTGGTCATGCTTCATCACAAGACATGAGAGAACTTATTGGTCTCCCAGGGGGTATGTTTTTTTTTAATTAATTAGAGTTACTAGCAATAACTGCAATATGCATTTGCTTAAAGTTTCATACAATTAATGTAGTATTGTTATATTTGTCATGCTTCATCACAAGACACGAAAGAACTTGTTGGCCTCCCAGGGGGTGTGTTTTTTGAATTAATTAGAGTTGCTAGCAATAACTGCAATATGCATTTGCTTAAAGTTTCCAATAATTAATGTAGTATTGTTATATTTGTCATGCTCCGTCACAAGACATGAAATAACTTGTTACTCTCAGGGCGTGGACTGCTACGTGAACACGTGCGAGGTGCTGCACCGCTACCGCCACCTCAGCTCCCTGGCCTCCGTGCAGGCTGACTGCGATGCTGCTCTTGCCAGGCTTAAAGCTGCGTTACATGATACCATTGCTGAGGTACTGCTGCATGATACTGTTGCTGAGGTGCTGCATGATACTGTTGCTGAGGTACTGCATGATACTGTTGCTGAGGTACTGCATGATACTGTTGCTGAGGTACTGCATGATGCTGTTGCTGAGGCATCACTTTTTGAGCACTTGTTAATATCAAGCTACAGTAAATTGCTTTATGATAAAGTTGTTATGCGTTCGTTATCCTTGTAGTTAGGCTAATTGCCTAAGGCTATTTATTTTATTTCACTCATTACCCACTTAGGCCATGAGTAATGTTTCGTTGTTCGACTTCACTTAGAATGAAACAAATTATTGGAACTTGAATTAATTATACAGAGAAATTCAATCATCAGCATTTCTCAACTTAATACTATATTCTCATTAGACAATTAATTCTCTTTATGACGTTAATTTGAGTTGCAGTTTGCTCTGTGCCGCTGATCGTCTCAACTGTTTTTATTGACATTGTATTATTCCTGAATTATTTATCCCAATCTGAATTATTTTTTAATTTGAATTTTTATCAAGATTATTAGTTTTAAATATATAATATATATAGGTTCACAAGGAATTTAAAAGCAAAGAAAACGCCAAGAAAATTCACCATATCGATATTGAAAACGTGCTGCTGAGGATAATTGGAGGATATCCAATATCGATATGGTGAATTTTCTTGGCGTTTTCTTTGCTTTTAAATTCCTTGTGAACTTGCGATGTAAGCAGACTGGTAATATAGGTACATATATATAAGTATAATATTCTTGTATAATATATATAAGAATATATATTCTAATATATATGTGAAGAAGTAATGCATATATAGGTATAGGTATATTATGCTTTTATAATATGTATAAGAATATTTATTCTTATAGATATTTGTGAAGAAGTAATGCATATATAGGTATAGGTAATATTCTTATATAATATGTATAGGAATATATATTTAAAGAAGTAACTGACACTGCAGGGCACAGCCAAGTGTCTGAGCAAGAGCGTAGAGCTGCTCCTGCAGCTGGGGGAGCCGCAGCAGACTCTGCAGCAGAGCTTCCTGCAGCAGGCGAACAAGCGCCTGCACAGCGACCTCCGAGCCATCAAACTTATTGCAGAACCTAAACTCAGAACCAACAGGCGAGATATTTGCTCTTGTTTTTTTGGTGAAATTACTGAGTGCGCCTGTTGTTTTTACACGTCATTTTACTTGTTCTTTATTTGCCACAAGTCCTACATTTTTTATTAAAATCTAGGTAAGATTAGACTTTTTTTGGGTAAAATTACTGAGTGCGCCTGTTGTTTTACATGTCATTTTACATGTTCTTTATTTGTCACAAGTTCTACATTTTTTATTACACTCTAGGTAGGATTCTCCTTGTTTGGCTTTGATGTTCCTTCTGTATGCCTGTAAAGCATGAGCTTCCATCTGACACTTTCATGTGATATATAATATTTCTGTAATAATGTTATATACTGTTCTTTGATATAAGGTCTAATAAAAAGTGTTGTGAGTGCAGAAGGACAAGTATGGCGCCCACTGAGACGTTGTCAGAAGGATATGACTCGAGCACGGAGGAGGAGGACAAGTCCACCATCATGGAGGACGAGGAGCCTTCAAGTCTCACTTCCAGGGATGGTCGTGAGCCTCAGCCTGAGAAGCGCTTTGATGTTGTGAGTTGCCGTGTCTGACATCGGTCTAAAGTTCCCAACTAAACTTTGATGTTGTGAGGTGCCATGTCTGACATCGGTCTAAAGTTCCCAATGAAACTTTGATGCTGTGAGTTGCCATGTCTGACATCGTCTAAAGTTCCCAACAAAACTTTGATGTTGTGAGTTGCCATGTCTGACATCGTCTAAAGTTCCCAACATAACTTTGATGTTGTGAGTTGCCATGTCTAACATCGTCTAAAGTTCCCAACATAACTTTAATGTTGTGAGTTGCCATGTCTGACGTCGGTCTAAAGTTCCCAACATAACTTTGATGTTGTGAGTTGCCATGTCTAACATCGTCTAAAGTTCCCAACATAACTTTAATGTTGTGAGTTGCCATGTCTAACATCGTCTAAAGTTCCCAACAAAACTTTGATGTTGTGAGTTGCCATGTCTGACGTCGGGCTTATGTTCCCAACATAACTTTGATGTTGTGAGTTGCCATGTCTAACATCTGTCTCTTATACACATCTAGATGTGTATAAGAGACAGGCTCTATAGCTAGGTGTAGCTATGCATGTTTAGATTGAACGTTGGCGACAGGGCTATATTAGGAGTTAAATTTGTGGCAATGACAGCACTTCTGCTCTGTTAGAGCCAGTCAGAGCCTTGGTAAGATACTTGACTGTGGGGGGCCCAATGGCTGCATGGG